CAAAAAAAAAAAAAAAAATTAGGCCGAGTCGACTCTGGACTCCAGAGGGGCATTTCCCCCAAACGCATCGAGTCTCCAGTTCAACTAGGCGATGGCGTTCAACGTAACGACGTGGATTCGGCAGTCGAACTGCTGCATTCGGAATCTTGCCAAATGCGGAGTCGTAACATGCATTTGGGGGTCTGAAACGTCTCTGGACGATGCGTCGACTAACTTGTACTAGGCCCTTAGCAAGGTTGCCTCGAGAAACCTGTTTCGGGGAAAGTGTCGGGTAAATGCAAGATTTACTCATATACGAGAATCTATGATTAAGATAAGCTCAAGATTCGAAGTGGTCCCACTCATGAAATTCTTCAAGGAGACGTATATTACAGATATTTAATATATTATTTACTTTCTGCATATTTAACTAACGTTCTGTGACCTTGATAACAACATACTAGTCGCCTGTAGTAGTATGAACGGGAGACTTGAATTTCTGTTGCAGCGGAAGACAGCCTCATTGTGCCTTGCGGTTTGCCTCGCGCTCCTCTTCGTCCTCGGAGCGGAAGGTTCGGGCATCTTCGATTTCACTTTTGGGCATCTTCGATTTCACTTTCGGGCATCTTCGGTTTCACTTTCTCTTGCTGGATGGGCCATGTCTTGTTTAATCGTTCTACGTGACGTTATATGCATCTACTCGGGCAATGGGGAAACCGTGAAGAGCATTCATGTTCTGGGGCTTAGATGGAAGGAACTCGATTTGAGCTTTAATTGCAAATCGAAACTGCATTAAAGGAGTTGCATATGAAAAAGGAGCCGAATGCCGTAAAATCACGATGAGAAATAGATTTTCCGGACTTCTAGAACAGCAGAAGCATTGTTCTGTGGTTGAATGGGACTCCCAAGCTGATTATTTGTATCTGAGAGACAGTCTCGTCGAGGAGGCTTCACGCAGTCGAAAGGCTTTCAGACAGTGATGTTCGGGCAGTGATGCTCTGGCAGTGATGTTTGTTCGATCGGCCTCGAAAAGAAAGATCCCTTCGTTTCAAAACAGCAAGCGGGCTTAAATATTGAATGCGACCTTCAAGATTTATACATCCCGCCCCGGATATGGAGCGGATAATATGTAGGGAAAAGTCTCAAAGGTAAATTTCAGGCTGGGATCTACACTCCAAACCTTCGTGTATGATATTCGGCTCCATCTCCCCAAGTTTTGTGGTTAAATATCTGCATGCCAATTCTCTTTATACTCAAATTAGCACTAGAGATGAAACTGCAAAATACGCAGATGAAAAGAGCCTAATTGACTACATCCAGGCCAAAAACGGCGCAAGCCACCGCCCCAGCTGCGGGCGCCGTTGCCTCGCTGCCCCGGGATGAACCTCAGCTGCGAATACAAGTGCCGCGGGATCCAGGACTGCGCGGGCTCGAGCACGTGCTGCGTCCACAGCTGCGGGTCGGAGTGCTTGGAGATGCCGGGTCCGGTGCCTGAAGGCGACGGGGGGGTCAGATGCGGGGAGTACCGATGTCACGCGGGCGAGAGGTGCATCACGGCGAGGGATGAGGAATGCTATCCGGATTGCCCCGACGACGGGCTCGTCTGCGTGCGAGAAGGTGAGTGGAAGCGCCTTAGCATTCAGTTCGATGTTAGAGGCGAG